AGATATTAAAAAAAGACGAAACAAAAATTAAGCATAAAAGTTACTCATCTCTTCCAACTCCGAGTTCTCAGCATTGGATTGTGACTGATTTTGGATTGTTTTTCTTCTTTTTCATGATCTTCTTGTTCTTCTTTTGGTTTCCGCTCGATCCAGCCGACTGATCTGCAACGCATCAGTAACAGAGCATTTGGCGGCGGAACATCGCAACGCCGGAGATCGAGTGAAGAACAATCGATATTGTTTCTGGGTTTGGTTTCTTCTTTTTCGTGTACAATCATGAACCATTCCGAGAACATTGTTCTTCTCGAACCTCTGCTGGGTTCTTCTTCCGATTCGGACTCGCCGTCGCCGTCGCCGTCGCCATCTTCTCGTTCTTCTTCCGATGTGATTACGGATTGATGGAAGCCTCTGAAGCAACGGAAATCGAAGCGGAAGCCGCGTAAACACGACAGAATATTAACGATTTCTCTTTTGAATCGAAGTGGGTTTTGATTTTGATTGGGTAATTTCCTCTTCTTCTTCTGGTGAATTCGCTCGATTTCTTCCATAACTGATCGCCAATTCTTGGTGGCGGGTCTGATTTTGATCTTGCCGGCACATGTGACCTTCGGCGATGTCGGCTCCGACGCCAACTCCTTGGCCCAGAGCAGAGGGCTAGCTTGGGCGGCACCAACCGGCGTTGGCTTTTTCTGGTGGCGACGGTGGGATTCCGACGCCGGTTTGGCCGGACTGCAGATGGGTTTTGGTAAAAGGGTGAGAGGGGAACGTGCCGGAAAGCAAACGAGAAGGTCGGACGGCGGAGCAGTGGGTTTGGATTTGGAAGTTCTTGATTTCATGGATTTCATTTTTTGGTTGTGTTGAAGGAGATGAGTGAAATTTGGATTTTAAAACAAAAAGAGTGGGAAAATCTAATTAAAGCACTTTTTTTTCTCTATTTAATTTCGTTAAAAAAATAAAAAAAATATCTCTAGAAAAAGTGCTCGAAGTTTAACATCTCACATCCTTAACATTCATCGATACTACTTTTTAAACCATTTATGACATACGTCATAAAAAAAAATGGGGTATAATCCAACCTCCGATACATGGGTTGGGTGCAATACCAGCACATCCGTGCGATTTGGTATTATTGTTGAAAAACTCATTTCAAAGGAAGTCTTCAGAAATACTCGTCTCGAAACGTTCACACATACTGTGCGACATCCATCCATGCAAAATTGACGTTTTGAAAGAAGATTATTAAAAAAATAATAATAATAATAAGGGTAAAAATGTAATTTAACAATTTTTAAAAAAAAGAAAAAAAAAGAAAAGTAAATTTGAATAAAGATTAATATAATATTTAGTTTTTATTATATAAAATACAATTAATTTAATCATCAAGTTCACAATAGTATATTCTTATTCTTACTGATAAAACATAATTATTAGAACAAAGTAAGTTAAATTTTAATACATGGTCAAATTTCAAGTTGGATTATTTAAAAATTTTAAAAAAATATTGTTAGTTTAATTTATTATAACCCACTTGACCTTTGAAAAATATCATTCGGCCCAAAGCTTAGGGCCCAATATAAACGGGTTTCAATTGGTTCATTATAAATAAATATATTTCCAGCTCAGAGAGTTTTAATTTACAGTATTTATATATATTTAGAAAAAGAAGAAAAAGAAAAATCTAGAAAGAGTTCATTTCTAACTGATACCTCCGGCCCTTCTTCAGTAACGCTCCCACTGCCTCACCGTACACATCATCACCTTCGAACGTCCTCAATGCCACCTCATCATTCTCTTTCTCCATGTCATCAGTCTTATCCTTGCTGGCATTTGTGGTTGGCCTCACCACCACCAACGTGGCGTCCTCTATCCACATCCCTCGCCGGAGCTCCACCCTCGGCAGATGTCTCATCCTCACCGTAGTGCTCGGAACCCTCGTTCTCGTCCGTCGCCATTCCCCTCCCTCCGCCGCTACTCCGCCGCCGTCTTCGCCGCTACGCTCTCTCGATTTCCTCCACTCATCTAACCCGTCCTTGTCCATCTCCACCACGCCTTCCCCTTCCCTGTCTCGCAAAACAAGACTCTCCATCTCCAAATGCTCCTCGATCAACTCCGCCAACACGTGGTGCCTCGCCGATGCCGTAATCAGAGTACTAATCGTCAAAAACACCTTCGATTTCAGTTCTTCGATGAAATCGAAACCATCTGCCACAGCCGTCTCATCATACGACTCATACCTAATCCCTCGAAATAGCAAAATCACGCAACTCCTAAGCGTAATCCCAAACTCCGCTCTCCATTTAACGCCTCCGATTCTCTCAACTTTAAGATCTCCCGTCGGAAACTCGATCTCCAGACGCTGGATCCGGATAAACTGCCGGAGGATTTGCGCCGGAGAGTTCTGCGATTCGGACTGAACGAGGATAGGAGAAATCAAATCGAAGAACGATTTCACAACGGACTTGAAAAATCCGTAGAGAAACGAGTTTTCATCGGAATCAGAATCGGAAGAAATGACGCAATCGACCTTGAGAAAGAGAGAATCGGAATGAGGAACGAGAGAGTTGAATCGCTTCGAGACGGCTCTGCAACGGATCAAGGTTTTGACATCGGAAACGGAGTTGAAAATCATAAGAATTATGGAATCCGGAAGAGAATCAAAGGCATCGTCGATGTGGATTAACGAAGAATCCTGCCCTTCCGCCATGGAAGACTGCAAGAAATTATCCGTTATGTTTATTTTTTTTGTTTTCGTTTTTACGTACTTATTTAACAGAAGCTCCGCCTGCAAGGCAAGTGGGAGAGAGATAGAGAAAGGACAAGTTGCGGGAGGTTTGACCGTTGACCTACAACGAATGGGACCCACAGGCCCAATTACGGCCCATTGAAATTCACAAAATTTTTAAATATTAATATAGAAGCGTAAAAGATTTGGGTCCATCTCCTTGTCCATCTTATTACGGAATGTTTAAGGAATTTTAAAAGTGTTTAACCATACATATACATATACATATACAACCCAGATCCACCGCTAGCAGATATTGTTCTCTTTGGACTTTCCCTTTCAGACTTTAAAACTCTGTAGGCTTTCAGGCTCCTCCCCAACCAACGTAAGTGTGTATATGTATATGAAAGGTTTCCCATATATATATTATAAAGGAGTAGAAACTTCTCTCTAGTAAATAATATTTGCTATCGATGGGCTTCAGTGGTTACAAATGGTATCAGAGCCAGTCATCAGACAGTACAAGATATCGGTGGAAGTAGGATTTAGACCCTCTCTATAGTATACATGTTTTAAAATCGTGAGGCTGATGACAATATGTAACCAAACAAAACAGACAATATCTACTAATAGTAGACTTGGGCTGTTACACTCTTTGCTTCTAAAGGTGAAGACTACCTCCACAGATCTATTGCAAGTCATTTCAACACACTTTGTCGTCCCTTAACATCAACTAATATAGAATTGCTCCAAACAAAATAGAGATTTTTAATTGGTCAAAGAATTTTGACGTGAAAATGGACAACGGCTCACCCATATTTAATATGGTTGGAAAATTTGTCACAAAAAAAAAAAAAAATGATGGGAAGAAAAGGTCAAAAAAAGGGTGTGAACCTAATCCATGTCCCTATTGATATTGGCTCTACAACTTGACCTCTAAAGGATAGAGTGTCGATGGCTGTTGTTCGTTGAGTTGGATTATTTAAACGGTACATTCTTATCACTTAATTTAATATTTTAAGTCTATAAATTATATATATTTTTTATTAATAAAATTATTAATTTATTGATCCGTTATTATCCAACGATTCAAAGTATATATTTTTTAATTAATTCTCTTGATCATATAATTAAAAAAAAATATTAATCGAAAGAATTAAATATGATGGAGAATTTAGTTATTAATTTTTTTAATTTTTTTTAAATAAAATAGTGGAATATTTTTAATACAAAAGGGATGATTGATTAATTCAACAAAATTATTTATTATTTAATTTTTTTTATTATTGAATATCACTTTAATATTTAGTCTGATATTCATAATTTTCGAACGTTACTTAACCGAATATCATTTAATTTGTGCGGTAAAAGAAACGTAATAATTGACTTTTTTTTAAAACAAATTATTATTTTCTTTTCATTTTCATTCCAAATATTAAATTAAAGATTCCATAAAAAAATTTAAACTTTTATTAACATTATTTTTTATCTTATTTTCTTTTATATTTAAATTAATATAGTAAAAACTTAAAAGTTTGGAAGAAAGTGTTGCGACCAAGATTTCTCGAAGACGTTCGATATAAAGTTGATTAGGAGACTTGGGTCGTTTAATCTCCTTTTATGTTTTGGTCCATTTTATATTGTGTATAATTTTTTAGGTTTACTAGACCCTTGAGATTTTCGGTCTCTATGCTTATTCTTATGGTCTAGTTTCACTCATAACATTAGCTTATAGGTCGATTTTAATAGACCCTCGAGAATCCCACTAGAGAAGACATTCAATTCAAGCCTTCAATACTCCTGTCTAGTAGTGTACATGAGTCGGGTTGAGCTGAGGTAACTTTTTGGACCAACCCAAAAGTTCAGGTTGGTTAGATTAGTAACTCAACTCAACTATCCTCGAGTTGGGTTGTTGAGTTGTTAAAAAAATTTAATTTAATCTTAAATAAAATATATTAAAAGTTCACTAACAAACACAAATCAATCCACAAATATTCGAAACGGAAAAAACACAAAAATGTCGTGTTTTTTTTTTTTTTTTTTAAGGATGGAGGGTTGACCAAGTAAAAGAACCAACCCCAACCCTTTGTCTCTAATATTAAGGTAAATGATTTGTAAAAAATCCCTTTGAATTCGGATTTTGTTCCAAAAAACCATAACCCAAATTCCCCCTTCCCTCCCCCTCCTATCCCCATGCACACTCCACAAGCCTCAACCATTACCATTACTCTCCATTCCTCAATCCTCCTCCTCCTCCTCCATCTCCTCGGTCTCGGAGATGGACTCAGAGCGGGCTCGCTCTTCTTACTCTCTGCCCGACCCTCCTATCTTCTCCTCTGGCACCTACGTCGTCCAGATCCCGAAGGACCAAATCTATCGTATTCCTCCCCCTGAAAATGCCCTTATCGTCGAGCGTCATCGTAACCCTTCTGTCGAATCCTCCCAACATCGACGCTCTTGTTGTCTCCGCTTCTTCCTCCCCATCGCCGCCCTCCTCCTCGTCATCATTCTCCTAACCGTTCTTCTCCCTCCTCTCCTCGCCTCTCCCAAACCCCCCATCGTCAAACTCACCACATTCAAACTCGCTCCTTCTGGCCACGACTTCCACATCAAACTCAACATCCATAACCCTAACTCTGTTGGCTCAATGTCTTTCAAATCCCCATCACATGCCTTCCTATCATTTCGGAAACACGAACTTGCTACTGCGAAATTCCCGCTCATCCACCAAGAACATGGCTCCGAAGAACATGTCACGCTATCATTCCATGCAAAATCATCGTCTTCCTTCCCTAAGGAGTTCAAGCGGCGGATGGAAGACAAAAAGTCTAAACTCCACGTGGCCATGTCTTTGAAGATGAATCTTCCGACAGAAACAATAGGTCGCTTATCGATGCATCGAAATGTCGAATTTGTTGTTGTTTGTAGTTTCACGGTTAACACGTTGGAAAAAAATTCAAAGATATTGTCGCATGATTGCGAAAGCAAACGACAATGACGAACGGTACGATCTACAACGTGAGAAAAAAAATGGTATTTTGGGCTGAATTTCCTTTCTTTGTTTGTATACCATGAAAAACATGAATGTCGAATATCCATATGATCTCAATCTCTCTTTCGTTCCGTTTTGTTTTTTTTTTATTTTATTTTTTTAAATCTTATTATTTTATTATTTTATTATTTTGTTATTTTTATGTGAGCTTCTTTGTTAATGGATGTCTTTTAGGGTTTTTGTAATTTTATTTTATTTTCCATAATATTTTATTCATATTGGAAAATCATTTTTTTTAATATTTCACTTCTTAATAAAAAAAACAATATTAATTAGATTAATGCTTATTTAATTATATAAATAATTATAAGGTGATATACGTACTATAAAATAATTTGGCTTGCCTTAAAATCTTATAATTACTGCCTAATATATATTTAATTATATGTATATATGTGTATTTATCTTGGTGTTTTTTTTTTCCATTATGGATTTTTTAGTATTAAAAATATTTTGATATATTTATATAAATATTTTCGTTAATAAAATTATATTTGAACGTAATATAAATATATTTAATATATATATTAAAGTGGGTAGGAGTCAAAGCCGAAAACTCATCTCGTAATATATATATATATATATTTTATAGATTCAACCTTATAAATTAAATGGATATATTTAATCGAAAAAATTTGACTTAATCGGTTAAATAATATTTAATTTAGCTAAATTTAATTGTTCGGGTAATATAATTGAAGCATGAAGTTATTTTTGGTTAAATGATGAGGAGAATATAACTCAAAAAAAATTTACGCTAAAATAATAAAAATATTTACTTTCAAAAGTTTTAATAATATCCTTCCACTTTTAATAAATAAATAAATAGATATATATATATATATATATATATATATATATATATATATATATATATATAATATTTTAAAAAATACTCATAATCAATTTTTTTTTATTATTTAATGATTTGATTTTTTTTTTTTAATTATGAGTATTTTTTAAATATAGGTACATTTTTTCGTTAATTTATTTAGAGATATTAATAAAAAATTTGAAAAATAAAGGATTATTTTAAAAATATTTTTAAAATTTTAAGCGTATTATTAAAATAAAAGTATAATTATTGAATTTTTTTTTTAAGGAAAAAATGATTAATTTAGAATTTCTGTATTAACATGAATGAAAAAAAAAATTATGGTAATAAGTTTGAAGGATTGATGGTCTGCAGATTTTCCAATTGGAGAAGAAGAACCAATCCCTATATCCAGGGAAACACCGAGCTCGGTTTCTCTTAGATCTTTTTCCCTCCCGCAACAGATGAATTAAGGGGTCTCCGCTTCGATCATTTCTCAAATCCCAATTTCCCCGTCATTTTCCTCGAAGAATCCACGTTTCTGCCTTGGCGGGGAGTTTGGATTTTTCAAAATTTCCCTCCATTGCTTTCGTCATGTTCTTGTTTTGTTTCTTGATTTCTGCTTTGGATTAAGAGGCGATTCGGTGTATTTACCTCTTCGGTTAGATCGAGAACTGGGATCTTCATCTCTTGTCTCCTTGGCGGCTGTGTCGGATCGGAAATTTGAGGCTGGACATGGATAATATAATCGGAAAGCTTCGAAACTTGGACGCTTACCCTAAAGTTAATGAGGATTTCTACAGCCGAACACTATCCGGTGGCGTTATTACGCTTGCGTCTTCTATTGTCATGGTTCTGCTATTCATTTCCGAGCTACGTAGGTGTCTCTCTTGATTTTACCGTTCCTTCGTGTTTGTTCTGTTAATCTATTATTGAATCTAGGGCTTATCGTAGTGTGTATTACAATTCAATGGCCTTTTTGTCAAGAATTTGTTTTCTGTTTCATGTATTCGAGCCTCGATTGGTGTTTAGCACTTGCCATTTACTGTTTAATACGGTACATTACTGTGTCCCAGGCTGCATTTAGCAAGCCCCAGTTTGCCGTATGTTGGCGCCATAATTTTTCCCTTTGTTTCTCCCGTTGATACCGCAGACAAGACTGCATTGGATTTATATATTATCATCAGAGTATAGTTCATACGTCCTTTGTTAGAGTTGAAGTCACATGTTAATCAATATATCATGTGTGAGATCCCACATCAGTTGGTGAGGGGAACGAAACATTCCTTATCAGGGTGTGGAAACCTCTCCCTAGCAGACGCATTTTAAAATCGTGAGGTTGACGGCGATATGTAACAAGCCAAAGCGGACAATATTTACTAACGATGGCCATAGGGTGTTACAAATGGTATCAGAGCCGGACACCGGACTCTGTGCTAGCAAGGACGCCAGATCTTCAAGGGGGGTGGATTGTGAGATCCCACATTAGTTTGAGAGGGGAATGGAACATTTCTTGTAAGGGTGTGGAAACCTCTCCTTAGTAGACGCGTTTTAAAATTGTGAAACTAACAGTGATATGTAATGGGCTAAAGCGGATGATATCTACTAGCGGTGGTCTCGGGCCGTTACATCATGCCTTCATCGATTATAATCAAAATAACTTTCTGCTGCTGCTTGGAAGGGTACTTGTATAGCTATCGCTAGTATTAAGGTCTTTTCGGGCTCTATGTTTTGGTACGAGTGCAATGAAATATTTGTTTTGTTGCTCTTCTGTTGCTGTTAGAGTATATGCTTTATGGATTTCTTTCTGTAAATGAATGCTAATACAGTGGAAACTCTCGTTGGTTATAGGGTTGTATCTCCATGCTGTAACAGAAACAAAGCTCGTAGTTGATACATCAAGAGGAGAAACGCTGCGTATCAATGTAACTTACGTACCATATGCTAATTTTGTATAGATGTCGTGCTTATATGCTCATTATTTTGAAGCATACATGGCACGTCATTACGCTTTTCTTGCTTTACCTTTGAGTGGAGAATGATTGAGATTCAAGTATGGACATGTCGGTTCCTCTTTTATGTTAGTCGCCCAAGTTGAATAATACCGTAAATTGTTTCTTGATGCTTGTAATGTTATGCATCAATTTGTTTCTTTTAAACTATACATTTTTCCCATTTGTTTCTTTTATACTACGCATTTTTCCCATTCTTATTTGCAGTTTGATGTTACATTTCCTGCCCTTCCTTGTTCTTTATTAAGTCTCGATGCAATGGACATCAGTGGAGAGCAACACCTAGACGTGGTGTGTGTGGATACATATCCTTTTCTCTCCTTATCCAGAATATGTAAATTATATGAATTTGAGCTGTGTATGCATGTCGTGTGCATGCTGTGCAAGATTTACATACTGTTTTCTCATGTATGCAGAAGCACGACATAATCAAAAAAAGGTTGGACTCTCATGGCAATGCTATTGAAGCAAGACCAGATGGGATTGGTGCTCCTAAGGTTTGTAATTTGATGACAATTAAATTCCTTTTATTCCTTCCTATCTCTATCTGGCACTTTTTTGAACCATTTGGAGCTAGTTTAATCTATGCTACATTAGGGATGCTTTGATGCCAGCTCTTGTCAATGGGGCTGCTTTTCTCATAAAACATGATCTAGTTGGTTGGATATGTCGTCTAGATAAGGAAACTTTTTTTTATTTTATTTTTAAATAAATGTTTGCTCATTGCTGTACTCAAATTTTATAATTTTAAATATAACTAAAAATGGTAGGAAAAAAGAAGAAGATACAGGTGCATTTTTCCTTTTTCAATAAATAATTGCCCCTGGTATCTGTTTCATACAATTTGGAAAGCAATGCGTCGTTTGATTTTCCTCACAGTCTGTTCATTTTACATCATATATGTTATGGGGACGCTCATCTGTGAACAGTTTAGTTTGGTGTCGTGGATTTAGTTTCCTTAGTTGAAGATTTATGAACGTTAAAACTTGTACGCAGTGATGAGATGAAAATGCTCGTGCTTAATCTGCAGTCCAAGGAAACTAATAGGATCAGTAAGGACGTAGGATGTTCTGGGTGCAACACGATATATGATGATTTAAATGCATGCATGTATGAAGGTTTTTTATCTTTATTAGGTGATGGGAGGCTAAAATCAGCCGCACTCCTAGTGGTGGAGAACACATCTAGAAATTTTGTAAGATATGACATATGACCATTTTAAAAAAAATGAAGGTCAGCAGGAAATTTGTGTGCTAATATCTTGACTCGTGCCAGTTTTTGTTTCAAGTTTAATTTTCTAGCTTAATTTTGATGCAAATTTCTATATCAATAGACATTTTCAATTGCTTGATCTTAAATCCAGTCTGTAACACTGTCCGCCCATACATATGCCTTTTGTCAATCGGGCGTTACTGCTGTTATTTAATTTTCATTTGGCTATTGTTTGTTTTGACTTTGGCACAGATTGAAAATCCCTTACAGAGGCATGGTGGCAGGCTTGAGCATAATGAGACATATTGTGGTTCCTGCTATGGAGGCGAATCGGTATGAACTTTTTTCTCATACGATAAAATTGTTGAATGTAGTTCCTCAATTGATCTATCAGGAAATCTCATAGAATTGATGAGGTGTTTGACTGTGCCATTATTGAATGTATGTCATATGGCCATGGCCAGTTAATTTAAGTAAATTTAGTTAACGTAATTGTACTGAATGAATTAAGCCACTGCCAGTTGGTCATGTCGTTTTGAGATTATTATTATTTTTTTTTTTTTTGTTAAGTGTTCTTTTTGTCCTTCTTCCATTTGAGAGGTGGCTTTGGTCAATTAAATATTTTATCTTGTTAAACATTGAAGTTCAACATTTTTGGTGCTACATCCCCCTCCTGCTCTCTCAGTTGATTCACTTAACCTTTTTTTTATTTGAATTCTTTTATGTTTGCAGGCTGACGATGATTGTTGCAATTCGTGCGAGGAAGTTCGTGAGGCTTATCGAAAGAAAGGTTGGGCTTTGTCAAACCCTGATTTGATTGACCAGGTTTGTCCGGACGAGGCTCCTATTTTGACATATTCTTTTTATCCTTATAATTTTGAAGTTGACTTCAAGTTCGTTTCAGTATACGAGGTCGATGTGTATACGTATCTACCGATACCCTCATTACTCAAATGCATGACCATAATGTTTAATTTTCTTGCTTAAGCATTTTTATTTTAGAAGTCGAACTTTACTAAAATATAAATATCTTATGCATAGCTTCTCCAAGTATGAAACGGGTGATATCTTCCATCCAATGTTGGAAGTTGGATTGGCTTTTGATTTTCCTGGCCAGAATGAAGTTTTCCGTCCTGCATTACGTGATATAAGTTTTCGAGATACATGAGAACTTCTGCATCTGTTCTTGAAATCATAATCCCATAGTTACACATAATTTAAATATTCTTTGCTCCTATGTCCGTGTCTTGAGGCCTAGTTTTACAGTTGAAAAAACCTTTTCTTTTGCCGCACAACGTTGATTTAAGGTTTCATTGAGCGGTAGCATACCCCTCTTTTTTCATATACAATCCAGTCGTTGTAGGCTATCTTAGAGAACTTTCGATCTATGCATCTGTTATTTGAGGATAATTGCTCTCTTTAGATTTTCTTATCTTTCGTATGATGCCTTCTTGTTTTCATTAATGGACATCTGGGTATTATGAACTTTTTTCCCTTTCCATTATTATGCAAAGAGCCTCATTTTCTTCAGTATACTAAGAATAGGATTTTTCTAGGGGTTTTTTTTTTTTTACTTTGACTTTTCTCTGGAATACTACTGCCTAGTGCCCTAGGGATTTCAGTTTTCTGTTGATAGGATAATTCTAAGGTTGATCTTATTCCTCGACATATTTTTCTAAATATTTATGGCGTTCAGTGCAAAAGAGAAGGGTTTCTCCAAAGGATCAAAGATGAAGATGGTGAAGGGTGCAATATATATGGATCTTTGGAGGTTAATAAGGTTGCCGGAAATTTTCACTTTGCACCTGGGAAAAGTTTTCAACAGTCAAATGTTCATGTACATGATCTGTTGGCATTCCAAAAGGACAGCTTCAATGTAAGATATGGTGTAAACGTGTTCTTTAACTTTTGAATGAAAAACGAATGTTTAAGATTCAGTTTGGGTTTTTAGATTATCAATCTAATTTAATTGCACTTTTTAACTCAGATAAGTCACAAGATAAACAGATTAACTTATGGAGAATATTTCCCTGGCGTGGTGAATCCTCTGGATAGGTAGGCTTTCACTTCTTTTCTTGGAGCTTCTAGCTTCTAGTTTGCAAGTATCTCTCATATTTTTTAATTTTTCAATTGTGAAGTGTTCAATGGAGGCAAGATACACCAAGTGCAACATATCAATATTTTATCAAGGTTAGTTTTTGGGTTGTTGGATGCTGCTTTGATTGTTTTTTCTTCTCTCAACGGAGGGCATAACATTATTTCCCTATATCATGTATCACATGCATTCCTCGTACAATAGCTGGAGTAAGTTGAGCGGAGTTTAAGTTGCTATATCTCGTTTTTCGCAGGTTGTACCTACTGTTTACAAGGACGTTAGTGGAAATACCATCCAATCAAACCAGGTTGGTATACCTAAACTTTGAAATCTTAATTTTTCTTTTTCCTACTTAGATGTTTTACATACTTGAGCAATGCCATAAAGATGCGAACAATGGATTATTGCAGTTCTCTGTCACAGAACACGTAAAGACTGCAGAAGTTGGACGCCTTCAGTCACTTCCTGCAGTTTTCTTTTTCTATGACCTTTCTCCTATCAAGGTTGGTTTTCCTTGCTTGTTGAGTACGTGTGAAATGGCAGATTCACTTTTCGTTACTGTTATAGCTGATTTGTTTTGCATGTTACAGGTCACGTTCACGGAGGAGCACGTGTCATTCCTGCACTTCTTAACAAACGTATGCGCTATAGTAGGAGGTATTTAACAAACACCCATCCCCTTGAATTATGGTTCAGTCTAGAGTGACCATCTATTTAGAATTTAATATCTTACGAATTACCTTGAAAATCAAATATAGTAGAGTTAGGCTATTGTCTTAGGAAAATATTTAAGGTGTGCGCAAGCTGGTCTGGACACCGTGCATGTGAAAAGAAAACGAAACTGTTATTTCTCTTAGAAAAGGATGAGTTTAGCATCAATGTGATTTTAATTGAGACAAGTTCAGAAGAATGTAAACTACAAATGCAGCCATGCCATAATCATATAAGTTTAAGTTTTCGTGAGATCCCACATCAGTTAGGGAGGAGAACAAAACATTCTTTATAAGGGTGTGGAAACCTCTCTCTAGCAAGCGCGTTTTAAAAACCTTAAGGGGAAGCCTAAGGAGGACAATATCTACCAGCGGTGGGTATGGGTTGTTACAATTTCCAACGAAAGAATGAACTTGTTTGTGTTTATTGAGTGGTATGAGTAACGGAGGAAAACCGTTTATGGTGATTTTTCTGTCCAGGCGTCTTCACGGTCTCAGGAATATTAGATTCATTTGTGTACCATGGTCAGAAGGTGATCAAGAAGAAGATGGAGCTTGGTAAGTTCAGCTGAGAAATCGACCTTTTTATTCGATCTTGACGCTACGGAAGCTTGGCAACAAATTCCAAATTACATATGATGATCAAATCAAAGAGAATCCAACCATATGGTACGCTGTCTTCCAATTTACATCATTTTTACTCGAGTCGATTACTTGCTAGCCTTCATATTTAAAACCATTTTGCTTACAGTTTCACGAATCTTTAACTGTTGTCGTAAATGTTAATATCTCCTCCCTTTGGCATTTTCTTAGTTAAAACGTCTCATTTAACTTTTATATATTCGTTAAATATTCTCTCAAATTTGAACCTTTGTCATTTATAAGCGCATTATTGAGTGTTTCAAGCTAACCCCATTTCTATATATATATATATATATATATATAATATATATATATATACACGGTTGAAAAGGACAGAATAAATGAGAAAGGGGAGCTCCCACTATTCCCATTATTCTCCCATATTGATGACTTTATGAAAAAGGTTTGAGTTACTTTTCTTCCAGATAATTATATGTTTGCATTTAGGGAAAGGAAGTTTCAAGAGAAAGTGGATTTTTAGCAAAATTCCTTTCTAAAAGGAAGGATTGAACTGAATTTGTTGTATCTTTGCTTTATTCCTAAGTTTACCATTTGATTATCTGATCTTTTAAACTTGACTTCATTATTACCCTTTCGATTTCGATTTCGATTATGACCGTCCATGTTTCTGTCCAATTAATTGTAACTTTTGGAAGTATCTGTTATCATTTCAAAAGTCGATAAAGTCGATCTTTGAAACGTTCATCTTCGAGATCTCTTTGGAAAAATGGCATATTCTTCTCCTTGTAATCATAACTTGTTGAGATTTTTTTGTTTTTTGTTTTTTGTTTTTTTTTTTTTAATGGTTAAGAGTGTAGTGGTGAGTCGGTGACAGCCCACGTGGTCATTGTCATGCACGCCACTACTTTTTCTGAATCTTAAAGAAAAGTTAAATATTACATAAATAAATTGTGCAAATTACAAGATTAACCCTCCATTTGGTCCAATTGGGGGTCCAATGGGTAACATATTTTTTAACTATAATTTATGTATTAATTGTTGGACTTAATTTTTATTGATCTTCAAGGTTAATTATCATTCCATTTCTATGATCTTAAACATTATTTTTTATTAAGTATGAAAAAAAAATTAGATGACATTCAAAAATAGATGAATATGTATAGCTAATTGAATAACTAAAGTTTCGTTAGACTATAACGAGACAGATTTTCTTTCTAAACAGATTTGATTCCAAACTATAACTATTATATATACAAGGTCTAATAATTCATAAGTTCTTTCGGCCGTGTCGTGTCTACAGAAAATTCAAAATGTGTCGATTTTATAACAGGTTTTGAGTCAAATAATAATGCTTTAAATCACCTATTTTTACACTAATATAGAATTTCTTATAATTAATTACTTTAATACATATACTTAGATTGGAATACTGGAATAAAAATAGCTACAAATTATTAAAGGAAAGAAAAAAAAAATAACAAAAGTACGAAAGGAATTTAAAAAAAGAAACAACATTTTACATTAATTAATAGAAGGAGAAAATTACAGAAATGTACTGCGATCTGACTCTACTACACAACAACAAAGATAATTACTTCTACATCCCTTCCGCCGGCCGGAAAGCTCAAAAAAAGTTGGCCGCCGGGCATGGCGGTGGCGGAGATTTCCCTAGGAATTATCACTTCTACTACTTCGTCATAATGCCATTAACATACATCAACTTTCAAAGCCCTAAAAACACTGAAAGAAAGAGACCGATTCTGCAAACTGCAAAAATTTAGTCGCAGAATCCCCTAAAATACGACGGCCTAAGCAATTTTACTAACACAATTACACAAATCATCATCACGAAGTGAAAATCGAAGCCCAATCGATTTCAGACGGATATTTCTGCAACATAGAGCTTTCTGACGGCTGTTCCCATGGCGAATCTGTCGGATCGGGGAACGTCAGATCTGATAAAGGCGAAGATCCTGCTGACTCGTCGCTCTCGGCTGAAACCGGCGACGAGGAGTTCTCCGCCTTGCAACAGATCTCTGATCCACTTGACCTGACCTCGCCAGCCTTCAGATCGTCGTCAGAATCGATCACCGTCGGTGCCTGAGACTCCGATCCGACCGTGGAAGAAATCGATGATGATTTCGACTTCCTCGAGGAGGCAGATCGGTTCGATTTCCCCTGTTTTTGCGACTCAGCCAAAGTTTGGCATATGGCATCGAGCTTAGCATCGACCGCGGAGTGGAGCGGCTTGTACTCGCCGAAATCGCCGCCGACGGAGGAGCCGTGGTGCTTCAGCTGAGGGAAATTAAGCCTGGCAAAATCGCCTCGGAGCTTGTAGGCGGCTTTGTCATAGGCTAAAGCGGCTTCTTCAGCGGTGTCGAAGGTGCCTAGCCATAACCGAGTACGGTTCCTCGGTAGACGGATCTCAGCCACCCATTTTCCCCAATGCCTTTGCCTCACGCCTCGATAAAGCTTCGTCGATTTCGGTGGAGATCCCACATGTTTCATCGGAATCGCCTTCGGGCCAAGCAAATTCACGCCGTTCATCTGGTTTTTCGTTAGCTCTTGCTGGTTGTTAACATGTCCCCAAACCGGCTGGATCTGAGTCTGAAGACCGAATTGAGATTGGATCTGTTGGATCTGAAAGGGAGTCAAGTAATTGAGTCCGATTGAAGCCGATTGCTCCAAACCGTGAAGGTTGTTAGCCGAAAACCCGTCGGAATATGAATAGGCCACCGGCGGCGAGCAATCGGAAGGATAAGAAGTGGACTCCGTTTGGATTGAAGAGAAAGAAGAGGAGAAATCAGGATCGAAAGATGAAGAAGAAGGAGAAAAGGAAGGAAGGAAAGAAGAAGAAGAGGAAGCAGCTTTCATAAAAGGTTCAAGCGCTTCCATTAATTCACCACCAACTGGATACGACTGAAGATCTCTGCAACCATAGAAATCCATCAAAGCAGCCATAATTTCTTAACGAAATTCAAAATCAGCAACAGAAACAAGAAGATGAAGAAATCAAGAAGTATTTCTACACAGAAAAGGATTGAAGCAGATCTGTAAATAACCAATCCCTTCAATTCCACCAAGAGGGAATCAAAAACAACCCTCGAAGTCGATCTAAGAATCTCAAAACCAAAACAAAAATATACAAACAGATCTAGAAAAGAATCCGTTCCAAAACAAAAACAAAAAAAAAAAAACTGGATCTCGATTCTGGAAAACACCTAGCCCTTCGAGAAACCCTTTCTCAAGTTTGCTTTCTGTTCGTTCTCAAAACAAACCCAAAAAACCAGAAACCTGAAAGACAGATGATTAACAGAAAGGGATTCAGAGAAGCGGGGATTACAGAGAAGGGGGATGAAGAACACGAAGATTGAAACACTGAGAACACAATCAGTAAAGAATCTCAAGAAATCTTTTGATTTTTTTTGTTTAGAAAATTGTTTTTGATCGCTCGGCCTCACTCTGTTTCTCGATCGAGGTCAGTGCTTGGTTTTTATAAGAGTTCCAATCCAAAATTACTTCTCTTAATCACTTTTTTTAATCTCACTTAATTACCTTTTAACTTTTTTCATATTTTAAGCTCTTGTCCTCCACTTTGCTGACGTCACTCTCCGGTACCCTATGCGCCGCAGCCAATAAAAAAATGACACGTCTCCTTCGATATCACCGCCACGTGTCGGTAACTTCAAAACCTTTTGCTTGTTCTCGTTCTGAATTTATCCACCCGAGGTTCCGGTGTTCACACAAACTTTTAGTGGTGCTGTCGTTTTTGTCTTACTTTCTTTTTAATTAAGTTATAACCTTTTTTTTTTTTAATATTATATAAATTTATATTTTATTCTTTTTTTTTATTATTAATTTTTTAAAAAATTTTAAATCAATTAAATGCTAAAAAAAATAGTTTTTTAAAGACTAAATTTGATTTTTAAGCTCGGTTCGATAGCACGAGCTCAAGTTCTTTTAGCTTCTCCGTATAGCTTCACGTTTATAAGTAATTGGAAGCTGTCAATAAAATTTTATTTTGTATCTAATAAAATCTTAAATTTTTACAATTTATTTAGAATTTCTATAAATAATAATAAAAAATAATCCGAAGACTTATTAGTCACAAAAATTTCATAATTTAACATAAAATTAAGATATACTTCAAAATTTGTAATTTTTTTTTTATGAATCATCCTATTCAATTAATTCCGGAACCAATAAATATTTTCAACTAAATTATTGTACTATTAATAACGTATATAATCAATTAAATAAATATTTTTTTGACATAGAATCTATACTAAATTAGTAAGATCTCATGGAGAGATCTACCTAGCAGACACGCTTTAAAACCATAAAGCGATACGAGCCAAAGCAAACAATATCTAATAACAGTGAGCTATAGTGAGCTTAGACAGTTAGTCGATATGTTTTAAATATTTTAAAAATACTAAAAAAAAAAAATGAATAATGTATGTTTATTTAATAAAAAGAATGGTATAAATATAATGGGAGAAACCTTATCTGCCAGTCTGTGGTGATGGAGAAGTGAATGGGCGGCTTCGTGATATCATAAATGATTGTACCAAAACTCTTTCAATTGCTTTGACTTTTTTTTTTTTTTTTTTCATATAATTAATAAATATTTGTACTAATTGGAATTAAAGTAAATAAATAAATATATATATTTTAATTAATGGGTTGCAAAGAATTTTCAAAAAGGCTAGGTCATTACTATACCCCTAAAAATGGGTTTGGTAGGTCAAGACCCACTCGAGGGACGGATTCAAGTTGCACGAGAATTTGAGTTCAAATAAGGTAAAAAAAATAGTTCAATACGAGACAGAAGTAACAAACATACAAAAAGAGTCGAACCCTCGAGAAGAAGAATGTGAGTTTGAGTTGAAACCTAAATTCCCTAGTCGGTTTCGTGAGGGGCATGCACGTTCCGTGCTTCCCTGTCATGCTATCTTAATTTAGTCAATCTGGTCCCCTATTTAACCTAATTTGAAAATGAATTTACAAACCCTAAAATGAATATGTTCTTCCCTCTCAAATAAATTATATTGATTTAAATTAAATAATAAATAGTATTTTTAATGAGTATAATTAATATATTTACCTAATCTAAAAATAAAAAGATTTTTTTTTTTGTACCAATTAATTAAATATTTGAAAATAATACTCGAAATTCTTTAAATAATATAAGCTAAATTGACGTTATATATTTTATTTTTATTGATTTGAATATAATTTAATTAGTTAAATATCTGACTTGAAATTAAATTTATTTTTAAAAAATAAACCAATGGACAAAATTGATACGGATCGTTCGATAATAAAATGACGTCATGATGACGTCATAGTCAGAGAATCAAACGGTTGTTGTTATCGAGGTTAAAAAGTCGTTAACTAGGGGTAGTTGAGCTGACCATATAGTTGGGTTACGTCAGGGCATAGAGTTAGAATTGGAGTTTAATTGAAGCGATACACAAAGTCACGTGCGGCGGAGACAATCGCCGCAATTTCGGCGCCGGTTACTCCACTTAACTTGGTGGCTTTTATGGTTTTCCTTATTCCCACGCGCCAACTCCGCAACTGCATGCTACTCGCCAACTGTATTTGCTGTGACCTTCACGCAGAGGGGAAGTGCGTGAGTCTAATCGAATTAAATTAAATAATCTAATCTTTCAAATTTTCAATTTGTATTTAATAAATTTTTTTTAATTCATTAAAAATTTTTATTTTGTGAGCGATAGATTTATTATAATTATAAAACTACCGAGGTAATTTATTTTTTTTTTTGTATTAAAATAAAAATATATATAATATTCCGAAGTCAATGACTTAAAAGAAAGGTTATTATGTCTTAACTTCGTCTTCAAAATTGAATTTAAAGCATTTTAAAGTACGATAACTTAAGGTCATCGAGACAACCAAATATCGGGTAAATATATATTTAAGTTAAAAGATATATTTGTCTTCTTTAAAATGACGTAAGTTCGAGTCCCTACATAGTTCAGTTGAAGAGGGGACGAAACATTTTTTTTATAAGAGTGTGGAAACATCTCTTTAGCATATGCGTTTTAAAACCGTGAGGCTGATAGCGATACGTAACAGACCAATGTATATATTATTAACTAACAGCAGGCTTAGACGGTTACACTAGTAGAATTCATACAGACGAAAATAGTTGTCGTTAGTTATCTCTTTATTTAGCGGGATTTTTCTCGTGCTCTCAATTATTCTCTCAGACAAAGCAGCACTATCCCCACATCGAAAAAAATGAATACCTTACGAGCTTTATTGAAATATATGAGCTACTTTGTGTTATGTGTGGCCCTAACATATCTTTTAGATATGAACTGACCCACTTTGTCTCATCGTGATCCAATTGGAGGTACATGAATCTGGATTTTTTTTTAGAAAGAGGCATCTATTGGCATGCTTGATGGGATCGGCACGAGCTCCTATAATTTATCTCAATAGTACATTTTCATCTCGAAAAAAACCCACGCTAATAAAATTGTCCCTTCTTACTTTTTCTCGACACAAATCTCTAAACCCTAATAAACTGTTTCAAATCTGTCCACCTTTAATTGTCACAAATTATATTTAAAGTCGATCTCGAATAAGCCATATACATGGATCGAGAACTGTCTAGTCACCTTTGTCATGTCACGATATGAGCTTCTCTTGCACCTCTGTGTTCAAGAGACAACGGTTATATGTGTATCTCATTCAACTCAATCTTCAACTGAGTTCAGTAAATGTCTAAATGGTGATCACACTCTCGAACAAAGACGTAACTCAGTGTCCAATTAAACCGAAGAAAGGGTTGGATTAGGCCAACCCTAATCTCAACCTCGACACCAGGTTGGTAAGAACTTCCTCCAATCTAAAAATGAAGGAATTAAAAAAATTAAAATTAAAAAAAAAACAATTAATCATTTAAAAGTAAAATTTTGTAAGGATATTTTTTTTTTTTTTAATTGGTAGGAAAATGCCAAAATTACGTGGGAGCCACTAAAAGATCTCTTACGCGGTTTGACAACTTTTCTTCATCTCCCCACGCGGTCGTTTTCTTCTCGTTGACGGACCACTTATTTTCTGCCACGTACCCCAATACCCTTTGTGGTTCCAGCTTCGTACAGCTAACCCGCCAAATTTTAGCCTCCACGTTTTTTATTAAAAAAAAATATTGTAATTTTCTTTTTGTCAAAATGGTAACTTATTTCTTAAATTTGAAACTACTAGAAGAGCTTAATAAGAATAACTATAACTATGCACATCCTCGTCAAGAATGTTTCGTTTCCTTCTCTAACTGATGTGAGATCTTACGATCCATGTTCTTTAGAGGCCAAACGTCCTCACTGGCACATCGTCGAGTGTCTAACAGCTCAAATCCACCGCTAACAGATATTGTCATTTTTGAAAATAATATGTATACATCACATTGAATGGAAGTGTTGTTTGTTGGGAAACCAAAGAAAAAAGGTAGAAGAAATGAAGAGTTTTATTTAAGCTTTGAATATAGCTCACCATGACCAACCTTCCCAACCAGCCATTGCCTTTTCAACCCAACAAAAAGTCCAACCTTCTAGGGTTTTCTATACCCTAACCTCACCTTTCAATCTTTTTCTCCATTTTCCTTAAAAAAATAAAACTCCTTTTTTCCTAATAAATTTATAAATTAAAAATAAATAGAAGGATTATATAATTTTTTAAGTCAAAATTTTAAAATTTGAAAAAAATAATAATAAATGTGGAGGAGGAGGAGGGGTTTGAAAGGTTCAAAGTATTGGTTGGAGGGTCATTTTCAAGAGGGGATTTGGATGATTATAAGCATTAGATATTCAAACAATTCTTCACGCATGCTCAATCTTTTTTTTTTTTTTTTTTTTTTTTTTAATTTTAAAATTTATTGGGGGAATGGTAATGTGGCCATTTTTGTTGGTGGGGCTGTTGTCAAAAAATGGGTTGTCAGACCCCAAATGGGGGGATGTGGGCCTTAGAAGGGGCCCAAACTGGAAATGAAGTTGGGTTGTGGGCCCTAAAAGGGGGCCCAAAGTGGATTTTGGAGAATAGTCCAAACGAGAAACACGTGAGTGTGACCTGTAAACCAGTCACCCTTACATGACAAAACTTCCCATTTCCTTCTAACTTCCTCCCAATTGTTTGAAGGAATACAACTTTAACTCTTTAACTATGTAATTGGGCACAAGATGTTCGTAGTTGGATGCTCTTTTACGACCCACTAGGCTTTGTAGAACCAACTTTGGAATCAATAAAACACATCATCCAAAGTTTATGGGTCATGAACATGTTAGATCCAAACTTAAAAGGATGCATATTAGGGGAAAAATTGAACTTAGTTGGATATTCTAAGCTTGAAGGTGAAGTCAAAATCAAGGGGTCCAAAGTAGACGGAGACAAACTTTAAACATGCCTAGGGTCGACTCGATTGTGAGCCCGAGGAATCACACCTAGGGTCTCAAATAGGCCCAAGGTGAACTACTCCTTGGGCCAAAAACCTAGGTAGCCTAGTCAACCCTAAGAGCGACTGAACCTCTGGCCTAACTTAGCCATACTAAGGCTCGAGGGTCTTGGGGAGCTTCTACCACGTGCTAAAAGCCTGCTTGATGTCACGATTATGCTTATCCAAGACGTGTTACATGTGGCCACAGGTTGATTGAGACAAGGGTGGCTTGTCTCAGCCTAGCCATACTAATACGCTTAGCCCAACCATACCAATACTCAAGAACTTTGGGAAGATTATATCACGTGTTTGCTTGGTGTCAGCATTCTGTTTATTCAAGACATATTATTCCAAAAGAGAGAAATTAGCCCATGTTATCTATAGCCAATACATCGCCACGTGTTGGATGTCCTAAATGGACTGACCATATTCATTCCAACTCCAAGACAGACACCCCAACAAGACAAGCGAGGTCCAAGTAAGATGAGCTACAACAGCACATTGGCTTGCCTTCTCATCCTCTCCCGAAGTACAACTAAAACGAAAACTTCAGGCAGACCTCTTTACTTTCAGGACATTGATGAGCATCAAAAAACCAAATGCGATTATATGACTATTATGCACAACCTTTCATTCATCAATTTAACCTTCCTTCCTTCTCTACGCTCTAGTAATCCTAAAACGACCCCAAATCCTCCAGAGAATGACAATGGTGCCCTTTACTCCCTATTTATACGGGTCAATCTGCCGCTAGATTGAACTTTTAAGAACACATAATAGGAAAATTATACATATTCTTTATATACAATTCCATCTGCATCTTCTTTGCTTCATTGAAAGATGAGGCTGGCCTCTTGACGAGTGATCGTCTAGAAGATGGAATCTATGTACTTATTATGGTGTCGTTTGTTAAACTCTAACACACTACCATAGGTTCGATCAGCAACGCCAACGAACAGAGCTTCGGTGTCGGGACTAAAGGAGATTCCAGCAATTTCCCCAAACAGATCGATTTCTTGTGCTTGTTCATAACCTGTGCGACTTTCATAGATATGGACGAAATCGGCAGGCTCAGCCATCGACAGGAATTTACCGTCCAAACTGAATTTGACGCATCTGATTGCTCCCATTCTTCCCTTGAGCACAGCTATGGACTTGGACGTATTCCTTATGTCCCACAGCCTGCAGGTGGTGTCTTGGTTCCCAGTGGCCAAAATGTTTCCATCAGGGTGCCAGGCAGAAGCAAAAGAGTAATCTAAGTGCCCTTTGAGGCTCTCAATCACCTGAGTCGACATTTAAAATTCTAACAGGGCAAGGGTAGCCGGGTATGCAAACACATTGATAGAAGCTTGGAAGGATAACTTACCTTGCCAGAGTTGGCATCTGCAATCAGGCACTCTGTAGTATCCCCAAGGACTGCAAGCATCCGCCCATCAGGACTAACAGAGGTGTTCTGTAGAAACAAGGGAAATTATGAAAAGAAAGAAAACAATCAGAATATGAGCGAATCGTTTAGTGTAGAGTTTGCATCTCACTTACATTTACGGACCAGCCAACTGTGAAGCCGTTGAGGCAAGCAAAAGTCTTGGCATCGTAAATCCTAACTTTTGCATCATTATTTCCTGTGACGATCCTCATTGCACCACTGTAAGGAAAAAGACACATAATTCGTATGCCCGAAGCAATGAAAAGATGTAACCCGTTCGAAAGAAATGAGATGAAACTTACTTGGGATTATGAAATATATCAACAGCATTTGTGATTGCATTTTCTTCTGTTGTCATTTTGGTGCAAAATGCAACTCCAGGATGATTCAAGTACTGTACTTTGAGGGAAAAGTAAATTAGATACTGGAACCTCCATTGTTAAGTAGATGGGTTACAAAAAAATATTCATACCTTGCAAATTAGTTCCCCTTGGAAACCACCAGCCACAATCAAGTTCTCCTTAACTGACATTGCACTTATCTGAACTCTAGACAGAGACTGGGATGAGACTCCAGGGCGTTTCTGTTAAAGAGATGAAGATCAGCCCATTCCAAGAAACTAAATTTTAATCAATCAAAATTTTCAGCTCCCTTGGTCTGCATAACATACCACGGTGGGAACAATTTGTTTAGCCACATTGAGTACTTCTTTGCCTCTCCGAAGCAATGGAGACCAATGCATTACTGAGTAGTTTTGCATAAGGTATACATCATGCTTAGAAGTTGCCCACAAGAGATTTCTTAGCTGCAAGGTATGAACAAACAAATCAGTTACTGTCATCAAAGGAAACATTCAAAGGTTTTAAATCACGACATAAGTTCATAAGATCTTCTCTCCTATTCGACTCTCTCGCTTGTCTCTCTGTCTCTCACACACTGAAGCAACATGCAGATACAATAATTTCATTTTGGCTTCAGGTATGCATCATGATTAGGTGCCCCCTTGAATTAAATAACTAGTTATGTAACCAAATCCAAAAAAAAAAATTAGCTGCCACTATTAATTGAATGGTTATGCCTTTATCTTTCAATGATGTGATTTAGACGCAGGAACCAATTTGAATGCTTCCGAAGATCAAAACCATTTTGAAAGAGGAAGAAGGCGATGGAGAGAACTAAGATAGCCAGGTGTTTTCACTGAAGGAAAGGTGTCTTCAATGTTTCAAATTATTAGACTTGATAGTCTGTGAAAGAAAATTGAACCAGGACCTCAAGTTGGGCTCTTCAGTGTTTACTGCCCAAAGATGTATAGAACGCTAACAAGGCTTTCGAAATGCTGGGCTAACAAGATATGCACAGAACTAAGATTGCTCAAATCAGCAGGCTGACTCTGTACAGAACTAAAAAAGATATGCACAGAACTAAAAAAGCAAGCAGAAGTACAATTCAAGGAATAAATAAAGTATCATGGATACAGAATATAGCAAATATCAGGCAGGTAAGTCAATTAACAAGGATGCATGCAATAAAATTCTGATAACCATCGGCAATAAATATCAGAGGAGTTGGTTTAGCCTCTCTAAAGGCCAAAATATATGTGAACTACAGGTTGCTACAGAGGCTTCTTAAATGCTTAGATATTTGCCTATCGTACCATATAACAACGTCCTGGCAGCTGCTCAGATATAACTTCCACTGCTTTAAAGGCTGAAATAGCAGAAATAACATTCCTAAATGCCACAGATGGGTTAACGTGAAAAAGTTGTATTTAAAACTCCTAGCAAAATTCGCATTTACAACAAGTATCACAAAAAAAAAAAAAAAATAACCATAGGGTCCCCCATTTGTCGTTTGTCCCAGAAGTATGCAAGAGGGAATTCAAGACCAAGAAGGTACGTCCAGGCAATTAAAAGTAACAATAAAAGTACAGCGGATCAAGGGGAAAATTCACAACCAAATAACTAGCTTATCCGATTCCTACCATTGCAGTGATGCATAGACATCCAAAATTTAGCACCACACTATATTTCATCAAATAAATGATGTCTGAAACATGTTGAAGATTGCAGCCTTGATATACGCTTATAAAGTTATATTATAGGTTGTCCAAGAGTTGGAATGCAAAACTATAAAGCAAGCATGAATCAATCATACATCTACAAATTATAAGAGTTGGGATCCAAAATTAAGATTGCATAATTGTAAGATAAGTGAGCACCGTTTTCCATGATCATGGCTTAACAGGTAACCAAGCACCCGATTATAAAAATTAGATCAATAATTGCATGCCTGACAAGTTGAATTGAGGCCTCACTGGACCATAATTTTTAAGCTGAAAGACTTTACGAAGTAAGTTAGTTTCAGGTAATTAAATTCATTTCAAATGAACAAAGTTGTAAAATAGAGCCAGCATAACAAGAATTCTGAGCTTCATACCTCGAAATGTATGATCAGGATATAGAGCTAGAATCATTTATAAACACATCCATAAAGGATAATAAAATATTCAAAACCTGCAAAACTACAATGCTAATAATGGCTGTATAAATATGATCAAGAGACTATAAAGAAGAAGACATCCTGATCAGGCGCAGTAATTTGATAAATACATTGCCATTCCAGCAAATATGACTTGGGACACTTGCACAACTCGGAAAAAATAAGCTCTACGATGAATAACTAACTAAAAACCAATTATTAGCAATATATGGTGATGAAGCATCTACTGCTCAAAGATGTAATACGAATCTAACATTAAATTAGTGAAATATGCATTCGACGTAAATGAAAATTTCTAAAAATTTGGAGAATAATTAATGCGCAGGAAGACCGATCGCATTGTCGTCGTCTATCCGCTTCTTTTAATTTAGGAGTTCTATTTCTGCTTTTATTATAATTAATTGGTCCTCGCGGAAGGGGCGGACGGATCTCAAAATCCTATAACTCTATCTGGAAAGAAAGATAAGTCCTTATCTTTGATCAAACAGCTCATAAAACTATACCTGAAAATGAACAATGGTTGATTTAACAAGCCTCGTATTGAACTGGAAGTCATAAAAATTATTCCCCTTCTCCACTTGCAAGCATTCCTGTCAGAGGAAGTCGATCGATGAGAAGATAATCATCGGGAATTAACAACGAACAAATTAAAATAAGTTAAAACGGATTTGGTATGACCCAAACAGTCCAAACAAAATACAGGGGACGAAAATTCACAAAGGAAAAAGCACCTTTTCCAGTTCCACACGAGAGCGTGACAGACTCTCATAGTTCTTGTATTGGCTCAAACGTCTTTCCCGATAATTATCTCTGGTAAAGGCGAACCTCTCCCAAGGTATTCCCTGGATATCTTTACCATTCCTAGCGTCGAAAGCAGAGGTATCCGACTTCGGCGTGCTCTGCCAAAACAAAATTCCCAAATCAATTTATAACGATAACGATAAGACAGAAGAAAAGACAAATTGAACAGAAAATTAGCAAAACTGACTGTATCCATGTCGTCTTCGAAGTCGGAGTCTATATGCTCAATATTCTGATCAGTATGGAAGTCATCGTCAGAGAAAAATCCACCATCGTCAAAATCATACACAGCAAGATCGTCATTCTGAAAATGCTCCATCAGCCTACAAACACATTACGTGAAGCTCAATCAGTTGAAGAACACACCTAAACAAAACCGCTTCACGAAATGGACGTAGGTACCAAGAAATAATTCGAAACAAAACGAAACTGCGATTGAACACACAGTCACGCCAACACGACGCTGATTCGAAATGAAACAGAGCAAACGAGAATCACAAAACGAGACCAACAAATGGCATAAACAGAGTTAACAAAACAAAAAAGTAAAAGAAAAACACCATAGAACTGGACCGCGATAACGAATGCAGAATGAAATAGAGCGGGAAAAAAAGTGAAATAGTATACCTTGAAATGGCGAGAAAACAGGCAAAACCAACAGATATCGAAGAGAAACAGATCAAAAGAACAAAGAAAGGAAATTCAAGCAGATGATCTCGTCTGAAAGAGACGAGCTCAGAAAGAATCAAACAGAGAGCAAAAGGGAAAAAAAATTCAGTTCAAGGTGGAAGAAAGGCGCCAACGGCGGAGAGAAACAAAAAGAGAGGATGAGAAGGGAAGAGTCTAGAGAGAGCGTTGTATTGAAGAAAGCGAGAAAAGAAGTTACAGAGCGGTTGCTTTTATAGCGGAAACAGAACGGGACGGGACGGGACGGAACGGAACGGGGACTGAGTTGGCTCAGTGAACGGAAGCGGAGTGGTGACGTGGAGTGAACAGGTGGGGACACCCCGTGGGCTTTCAGCGAAACCACCGGTTTCTTTGAACCGGCCGTTCCCCGCTCGGCGTTGAATGGCGGCCGTAAATTCTGGCTTCTATTTTTACTGTCATGAAATTTACCCTCCCATTCCACCGTCTCTCCCAAAACTTTTCCTCTATTTTGTGCTCTTCTAAAAATATTAAAATAAAAAAACAAAATTTAAATGATTACGTGGCATTTGTGTCCACAATTATGATTTACTAGGTCCACGTGATCATCTCGCGCCACGAATTCCATGGACTGGTTGGATATCGTTCCTTTCTTACACGTGGCACAACCATTTAACGGAACCCAAACGCCTCGTTATCCTCGGACCGAACACAATAAAACGCCGTTAACAGTGGGTAACAAGAGAAGACGCCAGATGCTTAACCAGGGTTGAGTTAGTGGAACCATGAGTCCGCAATGGGTTTACGAAGAGTTAAAAGTCTACCGCTTGTGTTCTCCAAGTTTTAAGAGCTTGGGCCCATTAGAAAGACCCGATATCCAACCTTTAACGTTAATTTGTTTTTATATTTTATTATTGTTAAATTATTCACTAATATTTATTTTAATATTTTAATCTATCGCTCTAATTTTTAAATAAATTATTTCCATTGAAGGAAGAATAAAAGTATTTGTTTTTATCGAATGAGTTATTTTATTTCACTTTAATTTTTAACTTTTTACCTAAGTTAGAAACAGGTGTTGAAATTTAAATTAACTATAGAATATGATTTTTCGTTTTCGTAATAACAAAAATTATAATATCGTGTCTAATAAATCATTGAACGTCTAAAAATATATTTATAAAATCTTAAACTTTCAATTTTGACATTTTTTGGGGTCAATCCAGCTCGAAACGACTTATGAATGTTTGAAAAAAAACTGACAACCCGACTCAAACAGAGGGTTTGGTTGAATTGAGTTGGGTTGTGAACTCTATTCAGATTGCTCGAGAATCACTAACCCAACTAACCTAAAAATTCGAGTTAGTCCAAAAGATTTACTCAATCAGTACTCACCCCTCAATTTGAAGAATAGTTAGGTTATATATTATTAGCGAGATTCAACATCGGTTGGAGAAAAAAACAAAACATTATTTATAAGGGCAACACGTTTAAAAACATTGAGGGAAAACTCGAAAGGAAAAACCCAAAAAGTACCATATCCGCTAATGGTAGGCCTGAGCTGTTACAAATAGTATCAAAGCAAGACACGGGGTAGTGTGTCAGCAAGAATGTCAGGCCCTGGAGAATGGATGGAGAGAGAACTGAAGCATTCTTTACAAGGGTGTAGAAACATTTTTCTATCAGATGCGTTATAAAACTTTGAATGAAAGTCGAAACGGAAAATATGCTAAAGATGATAATATTTACTAGCGGTAGCGGTATGTCTGAGCAGTTAAATTATTACTTTAATTTTTTATTTAAAAAAAAAAACAAATTTGCACACAATTGATAAATATAAGAAATATGTAATTTTATTATTATTATTTATTTATTTATTTATTTTTGTTAGCACCGAATGAGATGGACTATTAAAAGAAAGTTATAATAAAATCGATACTTTAAATAATATTTTAATTAACAAATAATTAATAAGACTTGAAAAATAAAAATATCTCCTTTGGTAATTAAAGCAAAAAAGAAAAAAAAAAACCCATAATGCATGTTGGAGCGCCATGGAATATAAGGTCGGCAAAAGTTCACAGTCAGCAATCGTACTTCCATTGACCCAACAGCTAATATATTTCTTTTTCCTTTAAAAAATATTATAAAAATATACATATTTCCAAATTATTAAAGTGCGGAATCATATATTATACATCATGGGCGAACATTTTGTTTCTTTTATAAGATATTGAAACCATAGGTTATAACTCAACCTTATGCCTTTTTTTCATTTTAATTAATTAAATATTTTGGTAGCTTCCTCAAATATCCTTTCGGATGAGAATTTTGATTCCTTTCTTCTTTTATAAGCCTCCCTAATGTATTTACGTCTTTATATTAAATTTTTCATGCCAGTTCGAATCCGTTTTTATTAGGGAATAACAAAAGTATTTTCGGAACGAAATTATTTTAATTTAATCGAGTATAGAAGTCCAATCGAATGAATGATTCGTTTTGAGTCTCTGGTCGAAGACGGGGAGAGTTTTCCCGCCTACAAGTCACGTCACGTGAAATTAATCACGTAATGATTGAATTACATAATTTAATTAATATCATAATCAACATCAAATCTCGAAATAAATCGAATATATACTATGAATAATAATAATTATTGAGAGAATATTAAAAATAAATCATGACATGATATTTTAATGAATTGGAGTTAAAAATATGATTAATATGAAGGGGAAAAGGGAAATTAAATTAATTTAAAAAAATTAATTAAGGAATCTTATCCAATAAAAAGAGGTATTAAGATGCGAAGCATCGGGACAAAGCTGTGGGATATGTCAGTGTGGGTGTGGACAGAGACAACAATGGGGTTGGGAAAAGCTCTATCACTAACAAAATATTTATTCTTTCCATCAAAATGGACCACTTTGATTTTGTTTCATTAAATAATAACCTTATTTTAATGGATCTTTCGAGTTTATATGATTAGGGTTACTGATATTGTCTGCTTTGGTCTGTTACGTATTGTCGTTTTAAAACCCGTCTACTAGGGAGAAATTTCCACACACTTATAGAGAATGATTCATTCTCTCGTCCAACCGATGTGGAATCTCACAATTTACCCCCCTAAAGGCCCAACGTCCTTGTTGGCACACCACCCCATGTTTGTCTCTGATACCATTTGTAACAGCTCAAGCTCAAGCCCACCATTAACAAATATGTCTGCTCAAGCCTACCACTAACATATATGTCTGCTTTAACCCGTTACTTATCGTCTTCAGCTTCACGATTTTAAAACGCGTCTATTAGGAAGAGGTTTCCACACCCTTATAAAAAATATAAGATCTCATAAATAGTCTTCGTTCTTGGAGAAGTTCAAAATAAGCAGGTAACGTGGTCATGTCGCATGGAATGTAAGGACATGTCGGACCCATGAGGTGTTGAATCCGAATTCTAAATCTTGATTTGAATCTAGAGCATGAGCGTTATAGATTAACTATTTGTTATGATCTCGATACAGTGAAAGAGAACTGTGTAACACTAATATAGTGTTATGTTCAACACGATACTCTAAGTCTGTGTCTATAGGAATATATTTTAATTTTTATTTACTTTTTGATTTTGACAATTAATTAATTCATTAAAATAAAATTTTATCTTTCCAAATTATAATGCTAATATAAAGCATTGTTAGTTAAATGAGAATGCTCGCTTATTAGTTTTATATTAACTATAATATGATATATTTTATACTAATAATTAATTGAGCATATAAAATACCATTTTTGTCCTTGAATTATTGAAATATTTTGAATGTGACCTCCAATCTATTTGGTTTTTTAGTAAACTATTTGATCCTTTCTATTACAATTAAAAATGATATTATTATTATTATTTATTAAATTAATAGATTAATTGTTGTCCTTTTCTTTTATTATTATTATTTATTATATTTAATATGTGTTGCAATTTCTATAGTTAAAATGAGTATACCTCAAACTCTCGCGGCTACCTAATTATAGGTTTTCAAATTAAGACATGAAATAACAATTAAAAATATAAAATAAATTATATTTTTAAAAAACAAAGAAGCCATTGGACTAAATTAAACCTATTAATTATAAATAAAATTAGTGAGTTAAAAAGAAATTTATTAGTATATAATTTTGTGTCACATCCGCTCTTTATCTATTATAATTAAGATAGAGACCGAAAAAATATATAAAAAAATTGTAATTAAAAATATTATATTCTTCCAAATTTTGATATAAAATTCAAAATTTCCAAAATTTGGGAGAGAATAAAATAGCCCTAAAATTCAATTATTGTTATTTTTTAAACGTAGAAAAATATTTAAAAAAAATCAAATAAAAAATGTAAAAAGTTAATTTTTAAATTTAATTATAGGTATAAAAAGCTAGAGATAAATAATTATATTGTCCGTGACAGATGTAAGATTAATTAATTAATTAATAATTTAAGATTTTAATAGAATTATAAATGGTTAATGCACTTTTTTCTAATAATATATTAATTAGCCTATGAGATGATAAATTGGTGCCTAGTAGCTCAACATTATTTTATTATTATTATTATTTCTTTTTGTTAAAGCTTCTAGACGGCTCTTTTAACTTTTGGTAATGAATGAATAATCATTTAAAAAATTTACTTTTAATTCATTGGATTTTTGTTTATTATTATTTTATTTAGATGGCACTTCGGATTCGGCTCATCTATGCCCGACAACATGGTTAGATTATTTACTTTATCAGCACCTGTGTGTCTCGACAACACGGTTAGGTTACTTTACTCTTACAAGCCCATATCACTTCATAATATCTTCGGACATAAAAATTACCCGTTTAAATCAGTAAAAAAAATTTAGTGTTAGTTCAAAAGGGTAAATGTGAAAATGGTAAAAAAAGGGCATTGGGTAACTCTATCTGAATTACGTCGTGAAGCCCATTACTTGGGATGCTGTTGGCCCATTACTTGTCAGTCTGTCGGCCCATTACAAGGAATGTTGTATGGCCCATTTCTTGATATTATGTCTAGCCCATTTTGGATATTATTGGGCCAATTACTAATTTTTTTTAATATATATTGAGAATTTTTAATATTTAATGAGATAACATATTCTCTCTAAACTCGACCCATCTATTTAATTATTCTTAATAAATAAATATTATGTTAAATTATAATTTTAGCTTATGTAATTTAAATTTTATT